GCGTCGGACACGGCAAGATAAAATAACAATTTATAAATTATCAAGGGCTCATGAGGGAGGGGGGAGCGGGGAGGGAAGGGGAAAATGAGGACCTAATGCCAGGGGTTTAAGTGAAGAGGAAATGTTTTGAGAATGATGAAGGCAATGAATGTACAAATGCGCTTTACAGAATTGATGTGTGTATGGATTGTGATAAGAGTTGAATGAGCCCCTAATAAAATGATTTAAAAAAAAAGTTATAAAACTATTTTCAAAAAATGGAGGTTTTAGAGATTTGTAAATGCTTGTCAAGCAAAAAAAAAAAAAAGAAATACACTTTAGAAACTGCATTTTGCCACTTGATTGAGTTTTCTTACAGACTACGACCCTAAATCTTTAAACCAAGAAAACTAATCCTGTGAGATGACTGGCTGTATCTAAGCATATTTTCTGGGACTCCTATTTGCTTTATCATATATATATATATATATGATATATATATATTGGTTTATCATATATATATGTTTGTTGGTGTAGCTGTTGCAGCAAAATTACACATAATATAGCATTTACCAAAATAATCCTTTTTCTTATGTACAATTTAGTAGTATCAATTATCTTGCCAATCTGTCTGTACTCCAGCCATGTTCATTTTCGGTACTACTTCAGAATGCAGTGACCACTATCTAGAGAATGAACCTCCTTCTTCCTAACTCCTAGCCCCTGGTAACTATCAATGAATATAAATATATAAACGATATCAAGCAATAACAAAAATGTGAAGCAAATGTAACTTTTATAAATTCTTGATGGAAATGAAAAATGTTACAACCACTTTAGTAGCTTCCAATAAAGTAAATTCTCCAATTTAGAATATTTTCATAAAAAGACTTAAAACAAAAAAAGAATTAAAATGTTTATAACAGCCCAAAATTTGAAACAACCCAAATGATTCTCAATAGATTTGTTAAATAAATTATGATATATTCAATTTAATAGAATGCTATTCAGCCATATACTCAATATGAGTGGACCTGGAAAATAATGAATTGAATGAAACAAATAAACCAGATAAAATCTGTATGAATTTGCCACTGGGGTTATCTCAAAGAGTTTTAATTTACATGCCCTTGTTAGTTTTTTAAACAAAGGAGATGGAAAGTTCAAATATGTAGGATTTGTAGAATTTACTCTCAGGAGAAAGATGGGGCTGTCTATTCTCATAGAGAGTTAACATCTCAGAAACTCACAGGGACAGTTCTATCCTGTCTTACAGGGTTGCTGTGAGGTACTACTGACTTGATGGCAGCGAGTTTGGTGGAATTTATTCAGAGTTATAAAGTTCTTCTTTTCCATCTAGAGAGGATATGGCATGCAGCCAAGTTGGACCTCCCCAAAGGAGGAGAATCCAATTCCACACTAGCCCAAGACTGATTGTCAAAAGGCAGAGGCCTCAAAGCATTTTCTCCATGTGCTTCTGATAATCTAGAGAGGAAATTGCATGGCAGCCATGTCACACCTCCTTAGGCTACACAGAGGAGAATACAACTCCACACCTGCTCAAGGCTGAGTGCTACAAAGCAGAGGTCAGACATACTATTCTCCATCCTTCTTTTACCCTATTCTGACACCAGCTTTTCTTTCCACGGGATTCTACTTCCCTACTGGGTTCAAAAACCTGTTGCAATGGCCAAGGAGAGCTCACAGACAACTGGGGGGCTTATTAAAAAGTTAACAAGTAATCACAAGTCGAGATCAGAAAACATTAAGAATACAGTCATTGGTCTATAGCAGCATCTCTTCTCAGCCAGCCTCTCTCTGGTCCTCTACCTCATCCACGTAGTTATCAGCCAATGACAGAAAACTTGGGGTTCTGTAATAGATCTCTAGTGGGCCACTGCAACATGACAAGTACTGATATCTGAAGATCTGATTTTAGCATTTCCCATCCACTGGCAGAGCCAAATACTGCTGATTTCTATTACCATATAGTAATTCTGCTTGTTCATAAATGGACTCTTTCAAAATAGGTATTTTTCAATAAAAATATATTACTCAAAAATACTGAAAACTAGTGACTGTGATACTGAATATCTAAATTATGACTAGTAATCAAACCAAAAAGCAGTTGAAGAGTTCATGGCCAAACATAAGATGTTAATGGTTTATCTTCAATAAAAAAAGAAAGCCCCCAAAATTGTTTTTTTACCTTAAGTTTCGGATATATGTGGCGCAGAGAATCTGCAGTTCCTTTGTCAGTCTCATCAGAAATACAAACAATATCTACTTTCATTTTCATCTTGAATTCTGCAGATAAAGCCTTTTGGATATCCCTGGTTGTAACCACAATGACTTCTAGAGCACAAAAGCAAAAAAGAAGGAAAAATTTTGTATCATTCATTTAGATAACGGTTTTGCAATATTTAGATTTAGCCTGTTTATGGGTAAAATAATAGCTAATATTATTTAGCATTTTCAATGTATTTTACATAAACTCTCACTTAATTTTTAAAACAATTTCATATTACAAATAAGAAAACTTGAACACAAAGACAGAAAATGACTTTGCTCAGAGACACACAATTAGTAACCAATGGAGGCTATGCTAAACTCAGGTCTGTATAATTAGAATATTTAACAAAACATATACAAATGAGACATCACTTTAACTCTTCAGTACAAAGAAAGCGCTATCACTACTTTCCAATAGGTAGCAATTAGTGATTTACTGAGGATCACAAGGAATCCTAATAAGAGGTAACCCACAGAACAAATATCTTTGTCTCATGCATGTAGTTATCAACCAATGAAAGCAAATTTGGAATTCTGTCATAGATCTTTAGTGGGATAATGTAAGCCACTGCAATACAACATGTGTTGGTATCTGAAGATCTGATTTTAGCATCTCTCCAACAATTTCTACTTTTTCCACAATAACACTACAGATCACAATTAACTCCTCTCTTTCATTTAATCTTTTTGTTTTTCTTCTTCTATTTTCTATCCTTTTTGCTCCTTTTCCCCATGTAGTAGGAAATAGTATGCCAGCCACTTGGACACAAAGGAGGAGACTCAACTCCACACCAGCCCAAGGCTGACTGTCCACAAAGCAGAAGTCAGACATACATCCACCCTCCATCCTTCTTTATTCTGATACCAATCATTCATCCCATGGCATTCTACTTCTCTGCTGCATTAAATTATCAATTGCAATGGCCACAGAGAACTTACAAATAATTTGGGAGTCTATTAGAAAAGTTAACAGGTAACCACAAGCCAAGATCAGAAAACTAAGGATACAGTGATTGGTCTACAGCAGCGCCTCTTCTCAGCCAGCAGCCAAGTCTCTCTCTGGTCTTCAGCCTCTGCATCTCATGGCCTCTTGGCCTCTCTGCCTCGGTGGGCCAAGAACCCCACCTGCTGCTTTGCCTCACAGTTTCAGGTCTCAGTGCTGCATCATCTGCTGCCTCTGCCACTAGAGACATGAATCTCACACGACTCCACTCATGGCTGCTGCTTCTTGATAGTCCCAGGATTCTTTCTGTTACTGCTTCTGACTCTCTTATACTCAAGGGAATGACAAAATTGACTAATCCCCGAGTTAGAATCCCCTAGTAATAGCACCTACCTAGGCACGAAAGCTAAAAGTGGAGGGAACTGTTTTCTCTTTTTCACCCTGTCTCCATTAATCAACTCTGAAAATGAGGAAGAGGAAGGGCTGGCTGGTCTGAAATTTAGAGAGTTCTGCACTCTGATTTACATCATGTCAAAAAGATAGTTTTGGCATCCTCACGGAATTCAAATCATAATCCTTTTCGTTGTGCTTTCACAGACCAATATCCCTAATGAACATCAATGCAAAAATCCTTAACAAAATACTAGCCAACAGAATACAAAAGTATATAAAACAAATAATTCACCATGACCAAGTGGGATTCATACCAGGGATGCAGG